GTTGTTCTTTACACCTATCTTGTGTTACTTGGAGCAATATCTTTGAAGCGTCTCCAAACCAAGTTTCGGACTTGATAAAAAATGGCCATCCAAATTCAAACCATTGACCACACGGCCACAGGGCCACGAGTAAAATGCAAGGTTTGTGCGGGTCACTGTTGAACCAAAAGCAGCTGGCAGGAGAAAAAGTACTGAATTGTCTCGGGAAAAGTGGACTATATGACTAATATAAATATAAAGATACTTAACAAAGTTGGTTTAGTGCTATCGAAAATGTTGAGTAATAATAATGTTGTAGGTGAAAATCATGAAGAAATTTAGCAACTGGCAAACTTAGCTTGTCGGTAGGTATCGAGACCTTGTAAAGAAGTATCGATACATAACAATATAACAAGTTGAAGTTTGAAAAACCGGTTTCAATTTGACAAAATCGATTTTAATTTGACAAAATCGGTAGAAATACCTGAATTGTTGAAATTTGTATCGGTACTTTTCTAAGTATATGCATCAAATTATCGATACTTTAGAAATTTAAAAGATTTGCAATAATAGCGCCTATAAAGTATCGATACTTTAGAAACATGTATCGATACATGACAATATAACATGTTAAAATATGACAAAACCGGTAAAAAAGTACCGGATATGTTGAAGATATTAATACTTTTATAAGTATATGTATCATATTATCGATACTTTAGGAATTTAAAAGAATTGCAATAATAGCGCCTATAAAGTATCGATACTTTAAAAACATGTATCGATACATAACAATATAACATGTTAAAATATCACAAAACCGGTAAAACGCTACCGGATACGTTGAAGGTATCGATACTTTTATAAGTATATATATCATATTATCGATACTTTTAAATGAAAAAAAATGAAAATGTATCGAAAGTAACGACACCTTACACAAAAGTATCGAGACTTGGGTAATTGTACCGATTAAATATAAATAACATATCCTGTTAAAATATCAAAGGTATCGCTACATTTCCTCTAAAAATAGATAGAACACGACCGTAGATTTCGAAATTGAAGGGTATTAGTTGCTGCGAAATATAAGGAAAGCATTTTTAAAGCGTAGTTGTTTGTTTGTTGCTGCAGTCAAATCGAAAAGTATGTTGTCGAAACCCTAATTTTTTTATTATTACAATAATCGAAAATAGGGATTTTATGGGTTTGGGGTTTTCGAAGTAAAGAATCATTTGAGACCGATTACAGGTAGAAAGTGATATTCTAGGTAGAAAATAAATATCGATACTTTTATATAATATTATAGGTAGAAAATGATATTGTAGGTTGTATAAATGTACCGATACTTGTAGTAGAGAGTATTTCCATTCGTTTGAAGGAAAACCTAGGTTTTTTAGTATTACATTATTTGTAAATAGGGATTAGGGTTTATGGGTTTGGGGATTTCGAAGCAAAGAAGGATTTGAGACCGATTAGAGTTAGAAAGTGATATTATAGGTAGAAAAAAAATATTGATACTTGTATATAATATTATAGGTAGAAAATGATATTGTATGTTGTATAAATGTACCGATACTTGTAGTAGAAAGTATTCCGATTCCTTTGAAGGAAACCGTTTTACTATAAGATTAGTTATCGATACTTGTATATTGAATAAATTGTATGTAACATGTATTTGATTTGATTTGCATTAATTTAATGCTTGAATGTTCGTAAACTAATATATAAAGGAAAAATGAAGTCAACGGATCTTGCAATTGTTGTTCGCGAAGATGACATTGAAATGGAGTCCGAGAGTATCAACAGTGAAGTAAATCGAAAGCAACCACTGGTAGATATATATACTTCTAGTAAGTATCAATTTATTTTTGTTATTGTTGTTGAAATGGTAATTGAATTGAAATATTTAATAACTTTAAATTGATTAAATGTTGACAGTATGACTGAATGTCAAAGGATGAAGGAAGCTGGTAATCACAACATCGGTTTGGTATGTAAAATGAAATTGACATTGAGTATTATTTAGCGTTAATGTATTGATTAAGAAACCCTAAACCCCATTAACAATTTTCTTTGCTTTATCTCTTTCAAGTGCATTGTAGATGTCTTTATGTGTAAATCCAACATTCTGATAATCCATATATAAAGAGAATTGTAGAAGTAATATGCAAATTTACAATGCACACGGTAAAAGTATACTGGTATAATGATAATAGCATAAACTTTTATATATATATAAATACTTTGTTATATTGGCCTTTATAGGGTTTAGGGTTAATTTCCAATGAAAACGGTTAAAGTCAATCGGTATTATGATAATATACGTAAACAATGTACATGATAATATGTTGATAAAATTTAATAACAAATCAAGTAATTAACCAGTTATGTTATCGTCGGTTCTAAGGCTCCATCAGCTTTAACTTTGGTTAATTCCACATAAAAACTCAAACAATATGAATGTAAAATGTATCGACACACGCACACACACGCACACACATATATTTTCCATACTTATAATTTCGAAACCTATTACTTTAAAGTAATATATTAATTTCCAATAAAAACAGTTAAAGTTAATTGGTATCATGATAATATGCGTAAACAATGTACATGGTAATATGTTAATAAAGCTTGATAACAAATCAAGTAATTAACCAGTTATGTTGATAAAGATTAAACTTTGATAATATTTTAGGTGTTACTTAATATGTTGATAATACTTATAATAAATTAAGTAATTAACATATTTTGTTATCGTAAAATTTCTAAGACCCTATCAGCTTTAATAATGTGCTACCTATTACGTTACATAAGTGCTACTTAATATGTTATTATGCTTAATAATGTTTCCAGTAATTAACCGGTTATGTTATCGTTGGATTTCTAAGGCTCTATCAGCTTAAACTTTGGTAACATTTTAGACGTTACTTAATATGTTGATAATACTAATAACAAATTAAGAAATTAACATATTTTGTTATCGTAGGATTTCTAAGGCCCCATCAGCTTTAATAATGCGCTACTTATTATATTACATAAATGTTACCTAATATGTTATTAAGCTTAATAATGTTTCTAGTAATTAACATGTTATGTTATCGTCGGATTTCTAAGACTTCATCAGCTTAAACTTAAGTAACATTTTAGGCGTTACCTAATATGTTGATAATACTAATGACAAATTAAATAATTAACCTATTTTGTTGTTGTCGGATTTCTAAGGTCCCATTAGCTTTAAAAAACGCTACCTATTGCGTTACATAAGCTCTACGTAATATGTTATTATGCTTGATAATATTTCTAGTAATTAACCAGTTATGTTAACGTCAATATTTTTTTGACACATTTTACATAGACCGATAACATAACCGATTATTACCATTATTATTACCAACTCAAATAATATTTCTAGTGAAATCATATAATATTTTTGATATCAATTTTAACTGGTCATTTATTTAACCAATCACATTATTTTTTAACCGTATTTTAACCCCTCACAGCAGCTTAAATTCTTGATGAGTCACGAAGCTTATCCAAACAAATGAAAAGGTAATTGATTTTTCTTTTGACTTCGGTTTCATCGTCCAGAGCCCAGAGGCAGGACCGCAGGATGCCCTTTTTCCTTACACGTGGCAGTTATAGTCATCACGAATGTCCTGTCACTTATAATATGACACGCAAGCTTCCTGTTTTTTAGGCAGTTCCGCGGACGTCTTAATATACGATTAAAATGAAATGTTATCGATTTTGTTATTATTTTAAATAATAAAATAGATAAAAAATTGATCGTAAATATTATTATTTTTATTAAAATATTATCTAAAATATTATTTTTTAACTGATTTTTTACTACGTTTACTTATATAAATAATTATAATCAATAAAAATAATAATTTTTTCGATAATTTTTATCTATTTTTTATTTAAAATAATAACAAAACCAATAATACTTTATTTTAATCGTATATTAAGACGCGCACGTGAGCATTTTCGTCTTTTTTAGCTTATCCGCAATTAGATCTCATGGTAAATAGGTCGTTTTCCATGTCATCAAAAGGTGACGTGCTGACACTCAAGTGGTGGTCAAAGAGGTAGGCGCCACTAGGTAGCCGTTTCAACTCCTTTTGCTTGGATAAGGTGGGGTCTGGAGTTGAGACTTGAAACGTAGCGTTTTGGGCTTCGTTACATTTTCAGTGCCCTACTCAAATCTGAGCTCTCTCCTATCGGTTTTAAGCAAATTCAATTTAGTAAAACGTCACTAAATTGAAAAAAAATGATAAATAAATTTGTAGAAAATATTATTTTTTATTATGAATTCTTTAAAATAAATTAGTAATTATATTTATTTTCATGAGTAGACGTTATAATTTTTTTATTAAATTGAGAAGTATTATATTTCTAATATAAATATCAAGATTCAAATCCACTTAAGATTAGATAATATGAGTATCCTTACTAACTCAACCAATTAATGAATATAAATTAGTATAAAATTTTAATCATATAATTAAGGCGTAAGATGAGCAATGATCATTTTATACTTGTAATTATATCAATAAAAAAATATGATTGTTCTTTACCATTACTCTTCCTCCCTAGTCAAAAATTAATTAACAGGTTATATTAATGAGATATTTATTTAAAAAAGGAAAATGAGATTATGGGTAATTTATTAAAAGAGATTGAAACTTTTTAATATAATTGATAAAATCATCTTAAAAAATTAATAATTTCAACAAATTATCTTAAGATGAAATAAATTTAAAAATTCGTTAATATTTGATCATGATTTTAATAATTAGGATAAAAATATCCTATTATCTTAAATAAATTATTCATAATCCTTTTTTTATTTTTTAAAAATGTTTTTCATTAATCTAACCTAATTAAAACCTTACAAAAAGCACAAGGGAAGAAAATGTCGTGGCAGATTTAGAGAGGCAAAAGGGGAATACAAAAACCCGCAAAGCGGGACGCAAGTATATGATTAGATCCCGGGATTCGAATGCAAATTTGCAATGCGTTGCCAAAGCCAAAGCCAACAACAACCTAAGCTATCAGTTTCAGGGTTGAGGAGCCACCGATCTGATTTCATTCTCTCTCTCACTCGCTAAGGCTAGTGAGTCACACTTACCAAAGGAACCTGTTGTCCGGTGTTGCATAAACAAGTTCATCTCCCCGTCAAATGTTTATATCCCATTCCCCTCTACTGCCCAAAGATCCCCCCCCAAATTCTCATTGCCCGCCCCTTCCTCTAATTCTCCAAATCCCCCTTCCCAACTTCTGTACCTAACCTTCTCTCGCTCTCTTCATATATCTTCAAGGGTTTTTGTTGGCTCGTCCATGGCATTTTCTTAATTATGGTGGCCAGTTCCACAGGATTCACGACTCAGCTTGAGTTGAAGCTCTCCTCCACATTCTTTATCTCTTATGGATTGTCACCTAGTAAAAAGAAGAGAATGTGCTTTCCTCGTGATCCGCTCACTTTCTTGAGTCGAATCACTTGCTACTGCTCCGACCCCGTGGTTCCTGTCCGTAGAGCCACTGGTTCTGGCAAGAGCAATGAGAAGGTGGAGGACTGGCGATTCGACTCCAAGAAGATCCCTCTCAGGGTCCGAGTCCAGGCTCCTTCTGCAATGCCGTTCGCTTCAGCTCAGTACGTCACGCTCTTCTCGTACTATTTTGTGTTACATCTAGCTTGGAACGTGTTCACGTATCGTGTGTTCTTCCAATTCGCGTGTATATCTATACTCATATCGATCGTTAAAGTGAATAATTGTATTCTTAACTTTACTTACCGAGGAGATAACAGGATGGACGACTTGTTGGTTTAGCTAATATGTTTCATTTTAAGAATACGATTATGAAGTAAATCTGTTAGTTCGTTTACTGTGACACCCTCAAAAGCCCGTCGCCAGTGGTGTCTTTATTTGTTAAATATAGGAATTGAAATGTTGTGATCAATACAAATTTACCAAAGCTAATGCTGATTTTATGCTATGATGTTTACAGATCTCGAGTTGCTTCCAAACAAGAAAAGTTCTACTCACAGTGTACCCCAAGAAATTCTGGTCCTCAGTCTCGTGATACTCCGCCAAAAAGAGGTAGCAAGCTATGCTGTTTAAACTGCAGAGAGTTTTATTATGAAGCTCTCGCTGTGCTTGTTTATATCTTTAGAATTTCTAGTGGCATTTAGATAAGATAACCATGCCTAATAAAGATAGGGTTGTTTGTTTGTTTCTTCATTGTAGACACTGGTATTGCAAATGAGAAGGACTGGGGCATTAGTTTGTTAAATGAGAGTGTTAATGAGACTGGCACTAATGATGATGGCAGTACATGGTATCAGGAAAGTGGGGAAGACCTTGGTGAAAATGGATACCGATGTAGGTGGACAAGGATGGGTGGTAAATCCCACGATGCTTCCTCTGAATGGAAAGAAATGGTATAAAATCATTCTTATTTTATATAACATTTTTAAGTACGAGTATGTTGATCTTAAAGTGGCAATTGAGAAGCATTTCCTATGTTCTTTCAGATATGGAATAAACATGGGTTTATCATTTATGACTGTAGATTAAAGCAATTAGGTGCTGTGTTTGCCACTATAGTAGCTGTCGAATATAAGGCAATATTACAAGAGACGTCCAAATTAAACATTCAAATCTTTTCAGAAAAAAACCCTTCAAATCAATCATTTTAAGAGAATTCATTCTAGGAAGAAATTTCTTTCTGCATTTTCTGTAACATGGAAGAGATTTATAAGAGGCCATCATTTGCTATGATTTCTAATGTACTCAAAGTTCTTCATGTTGATTGGCGGAATTTGCTAATTGGCCAGCCTTGTTTGCTGATTATTATCATGGGTATCTGTATTCAAAATTATCAGCATATTCAGTGGCATTATGTGACGTATATATTCTTTTGTCCTTTGCAACAAAGATTCACGAGTCAACATTTTTTTTTTAATTTGGATGTGAGTGACAACATATTGGGACACTGAATCCTCTTTCTTTTGAGGCTGTGTTAACTGAAGAAACATTCACTGATCTTTAGCTAAAGAGATCTAGGCACCCAAATGGTGTTAAATGACTTCTAATGTTAGTCAAATTGAGGAAAAAAAGAACTTTAAAAATATTGAGAATGGAATCTCAAAAGTGCTAGCAAACGACAGTTGATTTCTTCTTCTGTTACTTAACATTGTGTTTATAACCATATTAAGTATCATCCCAGGTGGCTAATTGGATTTATTGATGTCCTTAACAGTGGTGGGAGAAAACCAACTGGAGTGGATACAAAGAGCTAGGTACTTTTAGTTACCTTTTTCATTGATTTTTTCTATGAATTGAATTGTGGTAATTTCACATGGTTTCTTGCTTCAATGATCTAAAGTCATCTGAGCATGGATATGTCTAACTTTTATTGTTATATCTCGTAGGTGTTGAGAAATCAGGAAGAAATGCTGAAGGAGATTCGTGGTGGGAAACTTGGCAAGAGGTGCTCCATCAAGATGAATGGAGGTCTTTATTTTCACAGCATTCACTTCAGCAGGAAACACTTAACGTTAAATCCATAAATTATCAGATAGTGACAAATGGGATATTTTCAGTTTATCATGCTTGCAATTGTCACCAGTACAATAATTACTAGATCTTTCAAACTGCAGTAATTTAGCAAGGATAGAGAGGAGTGCTCAGAAGCAAGCTAAATCAGGCACTGAAAATTCTGGTTGGTATGAGAAATGGTATGGAGTCTATGGTAGTAAATTTCATTCATATTAGTACTCCTATTATCAGTACTTCATACGGAGATAAACTTATTTTGGTAGGTGGGAAAAGTATGATGCGAAAGGCTGGACAGAAAAAGGGGCACATAAGTATGGTAGACTGAATGAACAGTCATGGTGGGAAAAGTGGGGAGAGCATTATGATGGAAGTGGATCTGTTCTCAAATGGTAATTTTCAATTTGCCTTTATGCAGAAGCATTCAGTGATCTAGTTAATTACTAGAGTTTTTATTATTGATAGTTTGCACTCATGATCCTTTTTACATCAATTTACTATCTTCGGATGGTAATGTGAAAAACTATATTATGGCATGTTTTACCCGGAAATATTGACATGTTAGATTCTTGGAAATTTAGATGGCAGTTTTTTTATTGTCTTCATAAGAATACTTAAACTGATATTGATATTATAAAATGTCACTCTCTTTACTCGTATTGTTAAGGTCATTCCAACTTCAAGTGCCTTCCTATGGGTTTATATTAGAATCTGTTTCTATGTATTTAAACCGAAATTGAGATTGTAAAATTTCCTTCTTTGTATTCTCATATTTGTTCAGGCCATTCCACTTCAAGCACTTTCTTATGGTTATTAATTTAAAATTTCTGTTCCTATAATCTGCAGGACAGATAAATGGGCGGAGACTGAATTGGGAACTAAATGGGGAGATAAGTGGGAAGAGAAGTTCTTTGCTGGTATTGGCACACGTCAAGGGGAAACATGGCATGTATCTCCTGGTGGTGAACGTAAGTTTTGTCATTTCATCCTATCTGCATGTGAATTGTGATGCATAATTTCATAAGGTGGTTTGGTTCTAGTTTAGGTTGTGCATAATATATTAACCATTTTAATTATGTTTTGGGAAAAAAGAAAACTATCCTATTGATTTCTCCAAGGTTTGCACTTAGCATGAGCACCATATTCAGTAGGCAAACACCTGTGGAAGATCTCAAATCAGTTTACGCTGAAATGAATTGTTTAATTGTACTGAGCTGTAACAAGGAACTTTTGGGAAGAATTATTTTTCCAATATAGCCTATGTTCATCCACTGTGGAAAATGAAATTTATGTAAGGGTGGGTACAAGTAAGCCTTTGTCTTAATGGGAAGGAAACACCGAGTAGTTGAATATTGTTCCCTTTAATGGCATTGACAATGGCCGGTAGAATTCATCAACACTGGATGTAAATGCTGGGCAGTTGTATGAGTTTTCTTTTTTTGGTGAGTATGCATATAGAAGCGACCTAAGGGATGTTTTGCCTAAAATTCCTCTATAAAGTTGAAGCGATGTGATATTCATGTTTGTGTTTGTTGCTCATCCAATTTTATTTGCTTCTAACCTTCTTTTTCCCTTGTTACTAAGATATGTTTGGCCTAATAGGTTGGTCGAGAAAATGGGGCGAGGAGCATTTTGGAAACGGGTATGAAACATTACTTTAAACCCCTAAAACCTTTTGATGTAATAAGCTAGGATTTGCAATGTTTTAACTGCTCATGTTCTCGTTTTAAATGATTTTGTGATTAAAATCTGGACTCAGGCTTTCTAATTGATCATGCATTTCACCAAGATGCATTATCAGCCACGGCAGGGACTAATGTGCTTTGTATCATAAACAGAAAAGTTCACAAATACGGGAAGAGCACGACTGGTGAAAACTGGGATATTGTTGTTGATGAGGAGACGTATTATGAGTAAGAGCATGCAGCTCTTGGCTTAGTTCAACAGTTGTAAATGCTTTTCTGTTTGTGTGTGTAGATATTAGAAAGAAGCATAGCGTGTCTTTAAAGATACAAGTAGTTTGTAGCAGAAATCTGACTAGTGTTTGCATTTTGTTTTAGGAGTGAACCTCACTATGGATGGGCAGATGTGGTGGGCGACTCAAGCCGGTTGCTATCGATACAACCTCGGGAGAGGCCGTCTGGTGTCTACCCACCCCTTGATTTCGGGTCATCGTCACGTCAAGGTGATGATGACCAATCAGACAAGCCTCCCGCTTCAAAACCATGAGTAGGCTGTTGGCCCATTTGTTTTTCTCTCTTTTCCTTTTTTGCTTGAGGTGGTCCATATCATTTAATCACATTGGTTTGAACTCCAGACGAGCGTCAGGTGACATTTTGGATTATTTCAGTTTAATTTATTCATTTTCCAATCCCTTGGGCGCTTTAAGGTAAATCTAGAAAATGCTACCTTTGTGTAGGATCGACCAAAGAAACTGAAGATAGAAAACTAACTTGATTCATAAAAATCGAAGTATTCGATTGGAACTGATTTTTTTTCTATATACAATTATTTTTAGAAATGTTTATGATTTTTTATCAAATAATATTTAAAAATCATAAAATAATGTTCTTTTATCAAAAATAAAATTTTTAAAAATTAAAAACCGATATCAATGGCGGATTTGTAAAAATGGTTTTGGGTAATTGGTTTTTCGGTTTAGGGGTTAAATTTTTGGGTGAATGAATAGTAAGATGGTGGACGGAGAAGGGGCGCGGTAACGGCCGTGGAATTAGTGGTGGGCGACGATTGTGGGTTGATTGTTTGATTTTAAAATAATAATGAAATGAAAAGTATTAAACACTTTAATGAAAAAAAAAACTAAACTTCTAAATGAGAAAGCGGGTATAAATTGAACATCTATTCTTGGATATAATACACAATTTCAGTGAACGTTCGCATTAGCCCAAGTGGTTAATATAATGTATTAACAAAACTATAGTTACAAGTAATACATTTTTTTGTAAATTCAAAAAAAAAATATAATTAAATCTAAATCAAATAATTTAAACAAGCCTATCACATTGATCAGATCACAAATGGACGTCCACCCGATTGTCAGCTTGATCAAGACTGAGAAAGTAAAGATCAAATTATAATTAATTATTTAAACCATTTAAGATATTCAAATAACTGTGGGTCAGTGCACTTCAAATCCGAACAAAAGTATTTTGATTAGAATAATATAATTCAAATGAATTTCGAATAATTATTTAACATTTTAAAATTTAACTGATTACCTATTTTCCATCTTAGTAGAATGCACATCAATCTCACGCGGTCCCAGCTTAAAAAGTGCGAAAAGAGTAGCACACCATTGATCCAAAACCCTCTGGATACATAAACAAAATCTTTGTCAGTTGTTACTGAAACTAAACCAACCGGTCCAGAACCAAAAAAGTAAAACAAAGTTCATAAATCTGCGTAAATCAAGGGTTTACCTCGAAGGTGGTTTGGTCTACTGGATTGAACATTTTAAAGCAGTCTTCGTTTAACGTTTTATCACCTGCATAAATCTGCTACCCAACATGCAACCTCTTTATGTTAATGTGGTAATCTTGATTTAAATCATTCACTGAAAGTACAGTTTGTATTTTAAATACCTCAAAGGTGAATGACATCGGTACTCTCACAGCTTCGTACATGTAATCTGTTGCCGTCCCGTGTGCCAGATACCTGAAATCAGTAACTTTCACACATTACTAGTCCTGCTCCAACTGAAAAGAGTTTTTGGTATTAAATACAGTAAGTAAAACTTGATGCTACCAAAAATCGTCATTGCTTCACGTATAAGAATACCAACCCGACTGAGGTTCCACCAGAACCAATCTTGCAATGCCCGTGACAATGAACCATATTCAGTTCTTCAGTCAATGCTCTCATTCGCTGACCTGGCAGCCCGTCAGGGGTACTGTTTTTGTGGTCATATGGCATAAATAGTGCCTAAAATGGATTAATGCATATTGCAAATAAAACAGGATTAATCCTTCTTGACAAAAATAGTCCATGTAAAAGAAACACAAAAACTAATTCTTTGGAATGAAACTATTTCAAGAAGCCACAAAACATCCGACTAAACTGGAGTTAAGCAGCGATGAACCCTATTTTGAGAAGCAAGCTCTCCCAGCATTGTTATTTTTTATTTATTCCAAAGGCTGGAACTCAAAACCTTGCTGATGGTGATATCCAAAAAGTTCACATTTATGCACAGCTTAAGTAATGAACAATAGTCGAGGCAATTCAGCATCACTTACCTCCGTCCCAGAGTGTACATTAACCCAAATGTGAGGATTAAATGATGTGGCAATTTCTCGAATGATTTTAGTTTCAGGCTCGCTGAAAGGAGCAGTTCCAGGATACTCTTCGGCTGGATCATAGTCCTATATGATTGAAGAAAACTTTTGAATGGAAAACCTCACACTATGTAAACAACGTTAAAAAACATCAGTATAAAAAACAAAGTGAAATAGAATTTGCATGAAGGAAAATGCAAGGCATAATGAACCTTCTCCTTCCTTCCCCAATCAACACCCCAATTCCGGTTGAGATCAACTCCTCTCCCTGCCAATGAAGTCCAATTTAAAACATTTCAACTTCTCGCATAATATCCTTTGTATTTTACATTATTGCGATAAAATTGCCTTACCATTTCTCCTTTCACAAAGTTTTCCTGCTTCGACAAGCTTCCGGCCATTCAAATTCTCCAATGGTACCAACTATTCATATCATTGGATGTTAGCAGTTGAGTTAATTTAAGTTTAAAATAAACTAAATTTGCATAAAGCACTGACTTCACTGTACAGAAACAAATTTAGAGATACATTAATTGGAAAACAAAAGCTAAGAATGTTCTTGCTAATAAATAAATTATACCTTAATAACTAAATTCTCAAGGTTTAAGGAATCATGGTCCATTCCGGGTAGAAACTGTTCTTCACCTAAGATTGACACAATTCGTAAAGCCAGTTCTGACGTAATAAGCTCTCGTGAATGCTGCCCAAAATCCTGGAAGACAAGGAATTGTCTGTCAAGAATGCCACTATACTAGAAACAAAGTTAACGAATACAGTCATTGTATGCAAGTTTAAGCATTAGATTCCATATGTTTCAATCTTTAATAACTAAAGAACAAAAACAATTGTTCTTCCCATGCTATTCGCCAAACATTATTATGGAAGAAACTTACAAGAAGGATCCGGCTCTTGGACTTATCATCACTCTGGTTCCCACTCTGGCCATAAGTAACAACCGTGACATCGGCATTATAGCCTCCGGTTCCAGATTTGAGGGTTTCGACCTGTATAATGTATTGATAGTGTTAAATCAAATCCCCACAAAAAAATTGTTTCCAAGTATAAAGAAGTTGTGATCCACGTACAGTGAGTTTGTCAGGGTGTCGATGGACCAAAGACTCGACCTTTTCAATCAAATCAGTACTGCAAAATTGTATTAAGAGTGAATCAAAATAAGTAACAAGATAGATTTAAAAAAAACTCTTACAAGGAAGAAGATTTTGATTACAGCAGATAAAGGAAGGCATCAGCCATCACGAACTCATTTTGTCATAAAATATCCTTAATCTTTCTACTTCGGTTTCACCTTTTCAGCTGTATTTCAAGCTGATGTATATCCTCGTCATTCAGGTATTATAGATTCAAATAGTATATATATAATCCGATGCATACATATTCGAACACATTATCTAATGTAAATCAATAATGGATTCAAATATGAGCACCGGCATGACAATGAATTGAATCTTATTTTAATTAAAAAAATTCAGATATTTGAATGTGTTATTGGATGTTAAGTTATTTGTACGAAATTTTTATATACGAATCCAACATTCATTTAACCATTTAGTCAATGTTTAAGTTTATATTTTTTTTTTCAAAAATAATTTAACAAATTCGAGTTTTTTAGTGGTTCATATTAAAAAAAAGAGAAAATACTAATTGCTTCTCAAAATTCAAAGAAATAAACCAACTCTGAGACATATGTGAAACAAAAGAATGCAAAAGAGAAAAAAATCACATACCCGGAATGGTAAAGATCTCGGTTGATGGGAGTTTGAAAAGGTTGGGGGCGACCGGCGTCAGCGTAAACAGAAGGGAAACTTGGGAAACAAGCCAAGAGGTAGAGGGAAGAGGAGAAGAGAAGAAACAGAGCAGCCATTGCCCGGCAGAACGAGTAAAACGTTGAGGCTGCCGGGACGATAATATAAAAGGCAACAATTTGTACCTTTCAGCAAAGATTCTCTTGCTTTTCTTTTGAGTTTCCATGACGAATTATATTGGATTAGCCGGGAGAGAGTGTGTGAGAGAAATGTGTGGCTTTCTTGGTTCGCCTCCTGGATTGTCTCCGTTCCACCGCCCTCTTGTTCTATTTTATAAGCGGCACTACCATCTCCCGCTTTTGGGGGTATTTTCATTTTTTTAATATTTTTATAAATAATTTTAGAATAAACTACATGTTTAGTACTTAAACTATTAATTTTATTTCATTTTATTATCTAAATTTTCATTTATTTCAAAATCACATGTTAAAAAATTAGTGGAGCTGTTACAACATAACACTTTTTAATAAGTAAATTACATCATTCATCACTCAAGTATCTTCTTACTCATATTTTGGTCACTAAAGTTTAATTGTTTTAATTTAATTACTTAACTTTCAAATTACTCCTAATTTAATCACTCTAACTTTCAACTTTAAGTTTTTTATTTTAGCTATATATTGATAAAATAACAATAAAAAATGTCATGTCACAAAAATTATTAATAAAATAAATTAGAGTGATTAAAATATGAGCAATTTGAAAGTTGAGTAGTTAAATTGAACATTTTTAAACTTTAGTGATCAAAATAGGAGTGAGAAAATAACATAGTTATGAATGATGTAATTTACCCATAAAAATGCCACTTGTAACAAATCATTTTTAATGGTAGGTATTAAAATGAAACAAAATGTAAATGCTATATATGATTTTGAAACAAATGAAAGTTAAATTACTAAAACGAAACAAAACTTATAGTTAAGATACTAAACGTGTAGTTAAGATACTAAACATGTAGTTTATGCATAATTTTAAGATATCATGAAATTATAACTCTTGTTTTAAATTTATTTTAAAATATTTTATATTAATCTTTAAATTATATATCTTTTAAAATTAATTCTTAAATTTTAAAATATTTTATATTAATATTTAAATTATAAGTAGTATTTTATTATATATCCAACAAAAGTCCTTTATATATCATTTTTGTGTCTCTTCTAAAGTCGTATGTATATCATCTTTGCGTCTCAAAATTTCTAAAAATTTTTTTAGGTAACAACAAATTTTTTTAACGTAATAGACGCAAATAAAATTTTAGAGTGAACATCATTAGAAAAATAAGTAACTAAGTGAATACTATTCAGAATTCAAAGTGGGCAATGCTCACCCTCAACACTATTTAGTTTCGTCACTACGAAAAAGCAACCTTGAAAAGAGAATATCAAACACTAAACATTTTCTAGAAAATCATGATATCTTGATATAATTTATGTCAAATTCATATTATGTGATCAATCAAAGTTAAGTTTTCATAAGCTGATCATATGTATGTAGTCTGATCATATGCATGTAGCTTATTAACTTACAAATAGCTATTATGACTTTATACTTGAGTTTAGCACTGAGAATTCCTATAAAACCTTTTAACCAAAACGAGAGAAAGGATGAAATCATATCTCGCTCATTCATTTTTATCTACCTTTTTATATAGTCAGAACACTTGGACACTAACCAACAACTACATCTTTCCTTCTGAATAAAAAAATGTGAACCACCGATAACCAACGTAATAAACTTATTCACATTGATAATTCTATTTTGATATTTTCATTAACTATAGTGATTTAAAATAAAATGATATTGATAATTTATGTGTAGGTACTAAATTTTTTTCCGATATTTTTATTTAATTTAATTTCATTTTTATTTTCATTTGAATTAAACTTTTATTTTAATTTGTCCTTTTTACCACGTACCAAATATTTGTGGTCCTTAGTTAAAATCATTTGTGATATTTTATTGATATTATTCTAATTAAATTTCATTAGCTACATGTGATTAGGAGTTAGTTATATTTACATATTAATAATAATAATAATGATAATAATAATAATAATATTATTATTATTATTATTCATAATATATAATATGATATAATGGTTATAAATAATAAAAAGTAAGTATAATATTTATATATTTATCTTTGTTTTACATGTCCATTATAAGAACAATCTAACAATTACAAAGAACAAACCCGACAGCCTAATGGTGTGCAGCCCACCCGTCCAACCAACCAGCCTAAGAAGTAAGCTTGCATACGAGCTCATAGCAGCTAGGGTTCCATCCTTAGCATTTGGCATCGCTCACCATCAGTCGTTGGATTTGTGGGAGATCCAACGGTCTATACGCATCAACCACTAGGGTTCCAAACCCTTCCATGCGCCGCACTGTCCATTGTCGCATGACCTAGACCCATCCAATGGTCTAGATTAGAAGATGCAAAAAGGGTTTAAAGAAACCCTAGCTAGCCGTCGTCGCCACTAGAGGAGAGCAACCATTGATCTGCTCATGTCGGAGGCATGAGCGAGCCTCCCATTTTCCAAGCATTCACCAACTGGTCCTCACGACCCCTTCATCCGTGCACCTCTATCAGGGCCTCCTCTGCCACTGTCACAGTAGAGGAAAATACCCTCATCGTACAAATGTTAGAACCGTTTTGAGAGGGAACCATATCAGCCATTCAATGACCCACATAAACAAAATGAATGGGGAAATATGGCTCCTTTCCCCTCCCCATTTCATCGCATGCAAAAGCAGATAAATTATTAGGATTTATGAAGCTAAAAAAAGACAACTGAAATAAATTGTCAAGAAGGGAAAAATTAGCTTTTTGAGAATTTTAGGGAGCAAGGAGAATTAAAGGGATAGAAAAATAAAGCACAATGATTTATAGTGGTTCAACTCCCTCAATGAATTTTACATCCACTACGTAAGCTCCTCACTTAGGATTTTCCAATAAATCCACTAATTTGTTCTTTCTTTTTCAAGGACAAAGAGATAACCTTTACAAACTCCCTAGCTTTTCAAAGGCTTAGCTAGAACCAAAACCCCTTTACAAAGGATAAAAGATAATAAACAAAGAAACCTCTAAAAGGTAGGTGTTTACAAATTAAAGCTCACAAAAACATAATATTTACAAGAGAAAGAAAATAAAGAGTGAACAACGTTTCTCTTATGTTTGTGTAACACCCATCTCCCGTATACCTTTATATATACGAGATACAGATGTCACATCACTTTTAAAACAGTTTCCCATTTAAAAATACGTACAATTTTGTTTCATTTTGTATATCATTGTAACTTACTTATAATGAATACATATACAACAAAAATAGATGTTTCACATTTCACCGTTATACTTTAGTTTAATTCAGAAGCTTTTCAAGATATTTTTACTAAACCTATTACATGCCAACTAAAATATATCAAAAGCAGACAAGTATGTCATACTGTTACTGATGAGGCGACTCTGACTTGATGTCTGATGATCTCTTTACTCAGTTGATATTCCACCTACGCGTGAAATAAACACAAGTTAAGTATTACTTAGTGACACATAATTAATCAAAAGTAAAATATTAACACAAGTTATTTTATTACACTTTACATTTCAAGGGATCTTTCATTTCAATAAGTATTCTATAATTTGCATCACTAGTGCTAATATCATCATTTATCAACCATCACTAAAAATCTATGTGGTTTGCATACCCATTCCCAATATAAAAATCCACTTCTTTATTAAGAATTTCTTATGTTTATACACATATTTCCCATACGAAAATTCATACACTTAGTATGATTTTATTATCATTTTAGCACACAAGGTGCCCAATACGGAAATTCATACACTTAGTATGAATTTATTATCATTTTAGCACACGAAGTGCCCTATACGAAAATTCATACACTTAGTATGAATTTCTTATCATTTTAGCCCACGAAGCGCCCTATACGGAAATTCATACACTTAGTAGTAATTTCTTATCATTTTATCACACGAAGTGTCCTATAAGGAAATTCATATACTTAATATGAATTTCTTATCATTTTAGCACACAAAGCACTCTATACGGAAATTCATACACTTAGTATGAATTTCTTATCATTTTAGCACCCAAAGTGCCCTATATGAAAATTCATACATTTAGTATGAATTTCTTATCATTTTAGCACACAAAGTACCCTATACAAAAATTCATACACTCAGTATGAATTTCTTATCATTTTAGCACACTTAGTGCCATTTGGTAATCACCATACATACATCAATAATTCATTCCACTATGACTATTATAGCATATATGTACATAATTAAATGCACTCACCTGGTTCGCCTTGCTTAAATATCCAAAATGGGAAGATGATTACTCCAGAACTTGGCCCTTGCCTTTCGCCTTACTCGACTCAGGAGCTTGATTTTGATTTATCCAACATTAATTAAATACATGCATAATATCAATTGTTAGTGTATTTCCTAACAATTATAACTTAAACATTAATCAAACATACTTATTATTAACCTTCCTGCAATAATATCAGTATAACTTAAATTTTATGGTTCTTCAGTATCGATACCTCTACCATGGTATTGATACTACCCTACTGTGGTATCGATACCCCCTTCCGGTATTAATACCAAAATTAGATTCGATGTGGCTTGGTATCGATACCCTCACAATGGTATCGATACTACTATACTATGGTACTGATACCCCCTCCGGTATCGATACCAAAATTAGGTTCGATGTTACATGGTATCGATACCCTTACCATGGTATCGATACTACCTCGTCGGTACCGATATTGATTCAATTAGTATCGATACGTCTCATCTAATTCAACCCAATTTTTGCCTATAGTATCGGTATTGTTCTATCAGTACCGATACCCATGCTCAGTTTTTCCAGTTTTAAACTCGAGACATACCCAAATTTGGTAAATTTCCTTCACATTTACCCCTAAAAATAATATGTAACCCTTCTCCACTTATCCATACCAATTCTCTTTCATTTGGATACTTAAAATATCTAGTATCTCTCAAATGCATTTGATTCTAATAATCATATCAAAATTTACAATTTGTTTTTAAACTCATTTTATGCTTCTAATCTTTCATTTACCTCATTGACAAATCAATTCTTCCAATAAACATTAATAAAACCTCATATATTAATATATCATTATAACACCTATTTTCTAAAATCT